CAATAGCTGGGTATGACACATAGAACTTATTTTTAATGTTAATTTTTCCAACCTCCTTCATGTGTGTAATGTTTGTTTTAATGCTAAACAGGCTGTCTTATTACTCACACTTTAAGCATCTAAGAATGCATCTTGAATCTATCAAATTTAAAGCAGAAAATAATGTACTTTAAAATTGCATGTTCTTCAGTAGCAGGAAAAATATACCGTAATTGTTTGTGTTCTGGTAAATAGACAGTAATAAAAAAAATGGTCAGGAAAATGTTACGTGAAACAATGTTATTTTTCTGTATTTAAAAAATATGAAAGACACCTATTTCTATCTTTAAAAAAGGCAGATTTTCCAAATGGCTGTTTGGTTTTTAAAAAGAGCCATTACAGGCAGAGCTGTGGCGCCTATAATTTAAAATGGGATATTCAGAATAACACCCAGATGTACTAGGCATTTTTCTTAGTACCTAGCAAATTCTGTGCCTGTCTTAATTTTTTATAGCATCAGACTTGATTTCAAAAATCTTCATTCCACAAAGCATCTTTTCAAAAAAACTACACAAAGAAAATGGAAATGTCTCAGAAAAGGACAGCAGAAATAATCAGGGGATTAAAATCTTGAGAAAAGAATTTTGTAGTATTCTTCAAATACCTGAGAAGAAATCCTATGGAACGAGGTTAAAATGTCTCTTGTTCTGAAATACAGGAACAAAATAATTAATTTAAATTACAGGAAGGCAGATTCTAATTGAAAATTACGGGAAAAGATCTTAATACTGAGTGCATTGCAACAATGGCAACAATTATGCAAGGAGATTATAAGATTTCCCCCCTTCTTTGGATTTTTCAAAATATTAAACAGTTATCAATCTATCTACCTGGAATTCTTTAATCTGTATTCCTGCACTGAACAAAGTCCAAATGACTATTTTTAATTTTCTATTGTATCCTTTTGTTAATGTTTGTTTATGCCAGATCACCTCTGACGTATAAAGATATTTGCATGCATTTTGAATGATTGTATTAAAATTTATTTGGTCTTTATTTGGTCTTGACTACCATCTTAACTATCTGCAAGTAGACATCCAATATTAAAGCTGCAACATTTGCAAAGATTGTTGCTTATAAAACCAAACTACTAGAAGAACAAAATCAATGTTTCTTAAAACAAAGGTAGCCCATAGAAGTTGGATTTAAAGTTAATTGCACTTGCAGTAAATGCTTTGAAGTCCATGTGCCCTAATTTAGTGTTTAATTTAAATCTCAGCAATTTTATTAGGACTTTTCCAAAGTTTCCTAAGTCTTGATCTAGCTCAATGAGTTTAATACATGGGGGACCTATTATATTACGTAGGCTAAACTCCCAATTCTCTTTGACTTAATACATGTATTCAGAATATACATACTACATTCTCTACAGGCTGCAATTCTTCAGAATATAAGTATGTTTATCAAAATTACTTTGATACAGATTGATATGATTTGAATGAATATTCTACCTTGTGAGAAATAAATAAGTGGAGTGGGTTTTTTCCCCTCCCCTCCAAGATATTTTGGTTCATTACAAGCTTTAAATGGAAAATAGGCATGGCAATCACAAAAATATAAAGCGATTAAAAACAGTTCTAACTTGAGTTGTTCAAATAAAAAAAATAAAAAAAATAGAAACAAAAGTAATAGAAAATGAACATATTGTGTTCCTTAAATAACCAGATGTTCTTTTCTTCCTGAAGGCAGTCAAGCCTATGAATAAAAGGTTGTTTTAAGTTAACTGTGAATTTTGCAAATCTGTTTTACCCCATAGCAAATAAAATTCTAACACAGCAACAGAAGCAGAATAATTTCATCTGTGTATGTGGCTATGGTTGTTCTAACCTTATCACTATGACTTAATATGAATCTCAACAGTAATACAGACTATTTCCATTTCAGAAGATATGCAAAGAATTATCAACTACCTTTGATCAGAATGCTCATAGCACTTGTCTGAAGAATTTATTCCAAAAGAAAGTTTAATGAATCTCTGAGCAGTGATATGACTTTTACTAGAAGTAAAACAGTGTGATGTATGATAATACCAGAAAGAGACTTGGAGCTTTATATCCTTTTATTTTTTATAAATCTATTTAGGGCCAATGAATAAATTTAAGGCCATTTAATGGATCACTTCGAGAAATGTGTAGCAGACAAAATCCTGGATGAATCATTTGGAATAAAGTTCCCATATATGCAGCAAACTTCGTTGCATCCTTATTTATATATTAATGGACCATGAACATGGTCCCATTGAGTTCTCTCTAGGAAACACACAGGTTAAAGATTCCCCTTTTTGATGTTCTGATATTTTCCATCTCTTTCAAATGTTTTTATAAATATTGGCAGAGCCAGACCATGTGTCACCCTGGTAAAAAGCTTGTTGCTGGCAGGTAGGTCTTGTTTTGTAAGAAAGTGGTCTCAAATCTTTCCAGCTTTGTGGACCATTGGGGGGAAGAGGGGATAGTTCTGTGTAAGTGAACTCCATTTGCTCAAGCGGTTGGCACTTGCACAAATGGAGCTACGCGCACAAGTAGAGCTGTGGGCACTCACCCGCCACTTTTGCAGTCCGGTTCTGAACGAACTGCCGCCCAGTAATGGGCCACGGCCCAGGGGTTGGGGACCCCTGCTATAAGAGCTAGAGTCATTTTCTTCTACATATCCAGCAAAGCAGCCATGTCCCACTTTCTCAGAAAATGTGCCCCACCTGCTATAGATGGACTCTTCAAGTGGAGAAAGAATGAAAGCCCAAGCTCTATAATGAGCTATAATGCCCAATAATGCCTGTGGTGCTGTAAATTCTAAGTTGGCTGGGCATATATGCCATGCCCATAATCAATTTTGGAAGAACTTCATGAACTTATATTTTGTAATGGAACAAGTCATTCCTCAATAATCAACAAGATATTGGGATTGCATAAACCATTCATGGGAAAGAAAGATCAGCCTGGGCCTGAGAGCTATTGGTTTTGATTGAATGATAAGTTTTAGTTCCCTTTGTAAAGGGGACGTTTTGATTCTGCTATGTGTTTAGCAAACAAGAGATTATAATGATATATAGGAATTATCTTGGGAGGTGGAGAGAAGAGGTGCAGCCAAAGGAATGGTCAGATAAAAGGAACGTTAGCCTGCAACATGGATATGGATGGAACAAATATCTCAGAAGAAATCTTCCTTAGTTTCTTGGGATGGGGGAGATGGGGGAAACGTGTACTTTCAGACTTGCAAGATTCTGTTTTATTTTACTTCTTTTAAACATTATTCTGAGTTGGGTGGTACTGTTATTTGTTATTCATTCATCTATTTATATACTACTAAAGCTCTCTTTGTGATCTTTAACTGGGCAAAACAATGTATCATAGAACACTAAATTGTGAACCATGGTATCTCAAAAGGACTTACAGAATGTGTTCCAAATCCAGGACCCATTACCTTTGAAGGAATAAAATGTGGGGAAATTGTGGCAATGCAACTGGGCCACTGCTGTGATCATGAGGACTCTACACATTTCAATATTCTATGACAGTTTCCCAGCTAGTCTCACAATCCCTCACTTACTCCCTTATCCTGCAACAGCCACTTATCTGCCTACTGGAAAGGGAAGGAAAAGGAAGGGAGAAAAAAAGAAAGAAGTAATAGGAGGAAGGCAACCTTACCCCTCCTGGCCCTTGTCACCCCTGCCCACTTTCAACCTATGATGCTCCCCATGCCCCTCAAACTGGCAGCTTCCTTCTGCATGCTTTCCCTACCTGCCTTTCCCCATTCATGCAGCATTTCTTGCACATCTCTATGCACCCTGCCATCTCCTGCACATATTCCCTGACCTGCAAAACACCTCATACACACTCACAAATACCCTTAGGCACCCTCTTGACCCACACCACTCCCTAATTGCCCAACTAGACCTGTCATCTTTATGCACTCTTCTTGACCCATACCTGTCCACCATGCTCCCTATCCAATCTGCACAGCAAATCTCACACATCCTTGGGCATCCTTCCCAAACTACACCAGTCACTCTTGCACTTCTTCAACATGAAGCATCTCTGGTGTACATCACTTGAATCTCTCAAGTGATCCACTTGAACCTCCTTACTCTTTACCAGAAATTCCTATCTCAACAATTGAAAAAAAGTCAAATTAAGGGACATCTAGGCCAGGATCAAATAGTACCCTGAAAATGATCTCAGTATGCCCCTCCAAGTTCGGTCCACTCTAGATATCAATCAGCAAGGACCAGTTTTAAAAACAGCATTTTTTTCTTTTTTCAACCTCCAATTGATTCCTTAATTGATGTTTTATAGACTTGGAAAAATATTTCCATGTCTTTTTGTCCTAAAAACCTGTCACTGAGACTTTTGAACCTTCTCTGTATTATCTATTAATAGAAAATATTTATTTTCAGAAGTGGATTAACTCTTAAGAATCTTGGATACATTTGTAATAATGGTTATCTTCAAGAATAGATCTTAAAGTATTATTACCCTCTCCCTGAAGCCTCACCAGATAAAATGGTGGACTAATTGTACATGTTTTGAAAAGATACCATCATTCTGATTATGTTGCATTAGCATTTTAATAATCATTTTTCAAGTCCTGTTACAGCAAACTAAAATTTAATATATTATTAATTATTTGACTGAATGATTTTGGGGAGAAAAAATGAGGGGCATGTGTGTATATACATATGTATATATTTATATCTAGCATTTTTATTTATGCCTAATATTTCATCCTGAATGTTTTGATAAGTGGAGAAAAAGGTTGGATGCACCATCTAGTGGTTGTGCTAGTTTGTTAAATTTTGTTAAGATAGATATACTGCAACTTGAAATTGTTCTGATATTTAATGCATGTATTTAAAAAGTCAGTACTTTTAATTTAAATTTTATTGGATAGAAATATATTAGTCACATTTTAAAATGTTTTAATTATGCACTCTGACAATTCTCTCCCCCCCCCCTCTCTCTCTTTAGAGAAATCCCAGACCTATAGCTCACCAATTCCAACAGAATTTGGATTACTACAAAGCACGTGGAGCTGACTTAATGAATAAAACTCGGTAATCATGCTTTGTATGTTATCTGTAAAGGTGCTCTGCCAATAATTACTATAAATATTTGTAAATATATTTTATGTATATTAGGAGCCAATAATACTAAAAATAGTAGCTAATTATTCAATGATGATATGAAAATATTAGAATAATTTTCTCAGTCTTAGAAAACTGAGTTGACACAAGGAAGACCTTGCCTATTTTCTCACATATATTGCTCTAAAATCTATCGAAGTAGACTTGATAGAGGCTATTCCATAGCTAAAGCTCATCAAGAAGGCAATTTTATTTGCCATAGCCAATTGTAAAGAGCATTCAAATTAATATGGGAAACTCCTATTCAGTTATTTGAGACTCAAGGGACTATTGGGTTATTGAATGTTGGTAGTGATACTTAGAATTTGGTTTATAAGAAAATACTTAGCCACTAAAATTTTAAGACTGGCTATATTGCATAGTTGATTTTTTACCCCAGTTATTCTGTTACTTCACACATAATTAAATTGTGTCTTTCCTTGTCCTGTAAACAATCGCAACATCTACAAGACAAGGATTCAAGGATATAAAAGCAAGTTATTGCTTTTGTACCTAGAGAAATTAGAATTTGGCGCATTTACCTGGAGGGAAACTGTTTTAAAAACAAAATTTGGTATATTGCCATCAACAGATCTATAGGGCAGATGTTCTCATATTTCATATAAACAGTACATTTGAACTTGTGGATCAAGTACAGTTGAAAATGTTTTCATGTGTTTATTTCATAATTTTATAGAGATGCTATTCAAATTTTGTTGGTCTGTGACATTTAGATCTGTTTATTCTTTTGCACACTTATTATAATAGTGGGAAAATGATATATTTTATGTAATTTAATATCAGAGGGGAGATGGCAGCAACTTAAGCTACATGTTAGTGAAGTATAACTTACTTTTAATAGGATTTAAAAGATAATAAGTTATATTCTATTTATTAACAGTGAATAAGGATAGCCTTTGGCTATAAAAATGAACTTAGCTATAAAGATGACTTGCTTTATACAACTTTTATAATATTACTCAATTATAGCTACTATTTGCAGTTATTGTTGAAATGGGTCTTTTTCATCTGAAATTGGAGCATCTAACTCACTAGAAATCTATACTACTATAAGAAAAAAATAAAAGAGAAACTCACTAACTGTTACAAATTCATGGACCACATTTACATTACTCTGATCTCCAAGAATTTGTGCAGATTAAAAAAAAATTCACAGTATTATAGCAGTTTTTCTTTTCTAGTGCTTGTATGCAGAAAGAGATGTCCTTGAATCAACTTTGTAAAACAAAACATTTCATTTGCACACACTGCAGAAGCTGAATCATTGCACAGCTTTGTTTTAAAAATATCCCATTGATATCCAAGGTCAATTATTCCTATTATGATTAACAAAATAGTTTTCTTCAGGTACTGCATTCATGTATCCTTGACATTTAAACAATACCTTGCTTTTAAATATATTTATTTATAACCATAAGGTAATCAACCTTTATTTTTTGATCAGTGTTGTCCCTTTTTTCTGATATTTTTCTATCTTTTCACCATGATGGTAAAGAAATAAAGTCTGACCCTTGTATTATAGTCTTAATCATCTTACATTTATGTATCAGAACATTCAAAACTAGCATAAAGTTGAACTTCATTTATTAAAGTATCTATATCATGAACCTTGTTAAATTTGTAACAGCAATTTAGGATGGTTGCTATTTATGTCAAGGGCATTGCAAGTTAAGAGTATGTATACAAAAAAGTTAATGAACCACCAAAATTATTGCACAAGAGAACAGGGGTCATTATGAACAAATTACCTCTAATTGTAATGATGTACAGTCAGCTTATAAAACAATGTGAATACTTTCCCCTAACATCCCTCTTTATTCAGAGGAAGACAGAGATTGAGACACCTAAAGATTGTTTTAGGGCATAAACTGGAGATAGCCAATGTGAGACTTTCCAGATATTATTGAGTGTTAATGGCAACAAGAGATGATGAAAACAACAACAACAACAATAATAATAATAATAATAAGAGTTGGAAGGGACCTTGGAGGTCTTCTAGTCCAACCCCCTGCTCAGGCAGGAAACCCTATACCATTTCAGACAAATGGTTGTCCAGTGTCTTTTAAAACTTCCAGTGTTGGAGCATTCACAGCTTCTGGAGGCAGGTTATTCCACTGATTAATTGTTCTAACTGTCAGGAAATTTCTCCTTAGTTCTAGGTTGCTTGATTAGTTTCCATCCATTGCTTCTTGTCTTCAGGTGCTTTGGAGAATAGCTTGACTCCCTATTCTTTGTGGCAAACCCTGAGATATTGGACACTGCTATCATGTCATCCCCTAGACCTTCTCTTCATTAAACTAGACATACCCAATTCCTGCAACTGTTATTCATATGTTTGAGCCTCCAGTCCCCTAATCATCTTTGTTGCTCTTCTCTGCACTCTTTCTAGAGTCTCAACATCTTTTTTACATTGTGGTGACCAAAACTGGATGCAGTATTCCAAATGTGGTCTTATCAAGGCGTTATAAAGTGGTATTAACACTTCATGTGATCTTCTATCCTTCTGTTAATGCAGCCTAGCACTGTGTTGGCTTTTTTGGTAGCTGCAGCACACTGCTGGCTCATATTTAAGTGATTGTCTACTAGGACTCCGAGATGCCTCTTACAGTTACTACTATTGAGCAAGGTACCACCTATACTGTACCTGTGCATTTAGCTTTTCTAGCCTAAATGTAGAACCTTATTTTTTTTACCATTGAATTTCATTTTGTTAAATAACGCCCAATGTCCTGATCTGTCAAGATCCTTCTGTATCTTAAGCCTATCTTCTGGAGTCTTAGTTATTCCTGCCAGCTTGATGTTGTCTGCAAATTTGATGAGTTCCCCATCTATCCCCTCGTCCAAATCATTGATGAAGATGTTGAAGAGCACTGAGCCCAGAACAGAGCAATAGAATAGAATAGAATAGAATAGAATAGAATAGAATAGAATAGAATAGAATAGAATCTTGCAGATGAGATCAATTCCCACCTTCTGACCTTTGGCAAGACCCTTAAGATTTGGCTCTGCCAGATGGCTTGGGGCCCCAACAGGGGAGTATCATATTGGAAGTGATTGATTAATTAACCTGTCCCCCCCCCCACAAAAAATCTGGCTCCCTCCTTCCCCATCTTGTAATTATGATTTTACTTTGATTGTTCTTTCATTTTGTGTTTGAAATATTTCTCTCTGATGATTTTAATGTTTGCATGTTGTAAATTGCTCAGAGTCACTTTGAAACAAGATGGGTAGCAAATTGAATGAATGAATGAATGATCTTGGTTGTAAAATATTTCTAAGACAGACAAGTTTATTTTTTCCAGTAAATAAAACTGTTCCTGTGGAACAAAATTCACATGACTTTCAAAGGCTTTCAGAGGATGAAACAATCTACCTCCCTAGAAATAACTAGTATTAAAGTAGAATAATATTGCATTATTATACTCTCTAGATTCATTGTAATATTTTTGTGGGGTGAGAGGGATCTTTAATTACAACAAATTCATTTTGAAATTTTCCAATTAGTTTGGTAGTGTCAATTAAACATGATAGCAGCAGTATGTATGTTTTCTTTTTTTCTTTTTCAGTATCAATGCAAAGGTTGCTCCTCTGAACATAAATAAAGTTTCCAGTAGCTTATTGAATTTTGGCCGCAAGCTGATATCCCCAGCAATGACTTCTAGCAGTGCAACTCTTCCAGTTGCAGGTAGCAGTGGCAATGTTTCTTCTGTTGTCATGCCCACAAGGAGCACAGTAGAACTCCCTCCATCTCAGCAGCAAAGAATAATGAAATCTGAAAGTGTGCCAGTTCAGCTAAGCAAAGGTAAAAATGTCCCATTTCTGTTTTTGAAAACCAAATCCTGTCATAAACTAAGACAGAGCTTTCAGCATAATATAAGATAGTGAGATGAAATCTGCATATCAACTTGAATATCACTCATCTTTGCTTGCCACCATATCCTGTCTGATATAATTTATTTGCCAGATTTTCCAATTGTTTCCGAATTTCAGTATCATTGTTTGCTTTAGTTCCCTTCTCATTACATCTTTATTTGAGTATGTCCAACTTTTGTTGTTTGAAAATACTGCATGTATGATACACTCTTAGGTATGAATTCATTTAGTAAATCAGGCATCCAGCAAATTACTTTTCAAAATTTATTTTTTAAACATTGCTTGGTAATTGAAAACAGGAAATGGGAATCAGTTTGCTATAAATCAAATGACAGCATTAAACAGAATTTTATTTCATGTTTTGTGAAAATGCTCTGAATTCCAAATTCCTTCCCAGTTAAAAATGAAAATGGTAACCTAACTGCCTTTAAGATTATTTATTTGGTGTGCTCTTCTAATAACAACATAAATCTGCTTCTGTGTACATTTAACCAGTGGAAATGCATGCCCCTATGTTATTGCAAAAATATATTACATTAAGTGATTTTATCATTTTTCTAATATATAATATATTTGCAGCCAAAATAAATAAATGCAGCCACCTTATTGTCCTAGCTATTTTGGATATAATTTTTATTAAGAATTTTAATTATAATACTAAAAACTAATACAAATTAATGCTAGGAAAAGAGGAAAGAAGGAAAGGAAGAATAAAAAGTGCAGGAAGAAAAAAGAAAAAAAAGAAAGAATATAATTTTAGAGAGAGACAAAGATATGACTTCCAGCCTTCATGACAAATATAAATAAATTTAACATTTCTTTACTAAATTAATATCTCTTGTTTCCTTATCCCATCCCTTAATTATCTAAGCAAGTCCATAAACATCCACTTTCCAATCGTGGTGTCAGTAAAAAATCCATAAAGTACTGCCAAAAATTTCCAGAAAAGACTCAATTTAACTTTAGTCAAATAGACCAATTTCATATTCCTTCCTTTTACTTCTAACAATTTTAATTTGTTAAGCCAGAATATTGTCATAGGATTTGGTTCCTCTTCAATTCTTCTTTATCCCATGACACAGATTTCTTCAAGACTTTAACATGCCTCTTTTGCAGATCTAAAAAAAAAAAATTTCCCAAGTTATTTTCCCTATTTATCATTTGTATGTTCTTTTTAATTTTTAAAACTTCAGCTAGTTTCTTTTGTACATCCAATATAACATCCTTTTCCAAATCATTCTTGTTGTTATTTGCAGCTTCACATTTCGTACTTTCTCTGTCTTGTCAGATAAAATTTCTTACACATTTGTCATTCCTTGATTTACATCTTTCAGACATAGTCTTTCCATAGAAGCAGACATCATTACTCAGTCAATACCGTAGTTATTTCTGGTCTTATTCTTCAAAGATCTTTAATATTTCTGCTGTTATAACATTTTGTATCATTTTGTAAGTCTGAATATTAACTGACATTAAGAACAGAGTTGTATTTTTTCTTCAGCATAAAATCTTTAGTCCCCTTTAGAGTCACGTTCTTAAAATCATCACTTATCTTTTCTTATGTCTTACAATAGCCAGGATAGCCAAAATAAGTCTGTTTCCCGTGACAAGTTGATTATTTTTATAAATTCCAATATCTTATAATAAATGTCAATATTTCCAAAAATTAGAAAGAAGTGTGCGAACTTAGTGCCTTTCAAAAGGCCCTGCTGCAGTTATGAGCCAGATAGCTGATACCAGTGCTCACACCCACAGAAAACCACTGTCCTATGATCTCTTTGTAAGGAGCAACCATCTGGAACACATTAAGGCAATCTTCCCTCCTTTCCTTAACTCCTTAACAAACCAGTCTACTCACTGTTTCCTTGGTTTTTACCATGATTGTCAGCTCTGCTTTCGCATAGCTATCTTCAACTCGCTCTGTCTTCCCTGGAAATCTTATAACATATTTGCCTAACAGTATAGAAATTGGTCTGTTTATAATCAATAAGACTAAAATTGTAGAAAACGTTGTCTAGGTGATCAAATCAATCCATTCTGTGTAGCCTCAACAAATGTCTATCCAGATTCTGTTTGTACAGCCAATGAAGAAGAGTTCAATAGCTCTATGGATGATTAGTCCTACTATTGTAATATTATATAACATTCTGTCGGATTAAGTTACAGTAAATGTGAAACATAACAAATAAATAAAAAGAATAAACATAATCAGAGTGGGAGGATAAAAGGTCAAGTAGTGGTTGAGCATGTACAATCAAATTTTGTATGCTGCTTTGTATTACAAAGGAATAGTGTTTCAATTATGTCAGGACCATTACCTTAACATTTCTACTTCCCCCACTGCACAGATACTCATTTTACATTACATTTCCATTCTAGCTACAAATGAAGGAATATGATTAATATTCTATCATTCGTATGACTGAAATTTTTCCAATTCCATTTATGAGATATACATTTTATTTCTCTGATAGCTTGTTCAAATGGGGTAAAAATGGCAAAATCAAGTGACTGCACAGTTCATATTTATTCTGAGATAATTATTTCTTATTCAAGCAGAATACATCTCACTGTCAACCAAGTTGACAACAATCCTTACCTTTATTTGAGTACTTTCAAAACATTTTCTCACAAGTCTTAGAAAACAGGTTATACTTTCGTCACGGTGATCCTTCCTTTTGTCCTCATTTATATAAGGTTAAATAAACTTCACCATCTCCTGGAAAGCAGAGTAGGGTTTGCACTAGTATGTTGGATATGAGTTTTCATAAGCAAATCCATAACATTTACTTTGTTTAAAATATAATTTGATTTCTAGTCGTATTTTATTTTTAATTTCAGCTTAGCATCATAAAATAATTAGAACTTTTTATTTATTGTGAATAGTCTGTAAACCAGGCTATTAAAACTGAACATAACATTCCCTTATCCACCAAAACTCCATGGATCAATGACTCAAAATATTATATATATTTTAAAAAATGATGCAAAATTAAATGCTATATGATATGTTTGTTGTTATACTTTAAATAATGGAACTCAGCATAATATTTTGAAATTTTTCTGTAATGGGCCTAGCTTAACTGTAGATACATAAAACTATATTTTTTGGGTACTTCTGAAAGTATTCCTGGAGATGTAAAGGCATTTGTAGAAAACTATGCTACTCTGCTTTTGGAGTTACTTATTCTTAGACCACTAGCATTTGAATGATCACTATCAAGTTTCTAAACTCCATTGGAATGTTGCTATTAATAGCATTATGTCAAAATTACTTATAAAATACAGGAAGAGCCAAAGGCAATATATGTGTAATACATGCATAGAACTAAGCAGAAAATTAGGGTATTGGAATTTGGAAACTTTGACCATTTGTTCTACTGTAAAGATTTCTTTAACTTTATTTAATTACTAGGAGAAGTAGTTAAAGGCAGTGATGTTCCAATATCAGTTCCTGTCCAGAATCTAAGCAACTTCCACGGAACAGTTACTACAGTAACACATGGTACGTTTTGCCTATAATATTGTTATTTGGTAGCCCAAATATGGTACATGTGGTTTGAAATTTTTAAATATGTACTATATTTCACAGATCCACTAAGTGGCACTGTTGTTTAGAGAAAAAAATTGCATCTTTCTTGCATAAGAACCAAGAGCGCTTTTTAAGAAAATAGGAGTAAATATAATCTTATTGTAATAAAACCAAAATATCTTTAAAAATTAAATAAATAAAAATATTGTGCATTTTAAAAGTAGAGAAGTTGAATAAATTATAAATGTGGAACCTTGTTGGTTATTATCTCATAAACACGTAGGTGAATAGCCACATCTTCAATAACTGAGAAAGCTCTTATCTGGGCCATAACATCCAGGTAATTGCAATGTACAAGTTCCATGGTATTTAGGGAAGTGATTTTTAAAAAATACTTAAGTCTTCAGCCATTTAGGACTTTATAAACTAATATCACCACTTAATATTGGATGGTATAATTCTCAAACAACCAGCTCAATTTTTGGGACTGAAGTGATATCCCATTTAGCTCTCCCATTTAAGATTTATGCAGCTTTTTTCTAACCTGCATTCTTTGAAGTATATTTTCTCAGATTAGGAGTCCAAAAATAGAGCCACTAGAGGTTGAAAAAACATTCCAGAAGAAGGCAGTAGCAAATCATTTATCTGTACTACTAGGAAATATGTAAATATGTTTATGTGAAATCACAAGGAATTGAACTCAAAATTGCACTGACTTATTGTTCCTATCCTTGATATATTGCTAAGTTCTGCTGTTTTTGCTTATAGCAAATCTCTACCCTTTCATGTGAAATTTCCTCATTTCACATACAAAAATATGAAGGATAATTCTGTCAATTAAATTATTATTAAAGGGTCATTCTGTTGAGCAAAATGTACCCCTTTGATTCAAGAGATTATTTCCATGTAACAACATTCTGGTAGCTAAATATTCCATTAAACAGTCCAATTGCCTTTTGAAGAAAAAAGCATATTTGAGACAAAACCACAGGGGCTTCTTCTGGCAGTCTCTGAGAATCTGACACAATGGATGGATGGATGGATGGATGGATGGATGGATGGATGGATGGATGGATGGATGGATGGATGGATGGATAGATAGATAGATAGATAGGCAGATAGATAGGCAGATAGATAGGCAGATAGATAGGCAGATAGATAGGCAAATAGGCAGGCAGGCAGACAGATGCACACACACGCAGGCAGGCAGGCATACACATACTTATATGTACCTACATAAAATATATATTGACTGGGTTTGCTTAGTGCCAGTATGTTCTTATGTACAAGATATGTTTTGTTGCTCACTTTGTGACTAAATATGTGTTGCAAATAGTTTTATACAGTCCTGCATGTCCCTTGCAGTAGCACTTTGTATTATATCAATAAATAAATTCATGATATGCAAATCTGCTTTTGAAAAATCACCATTCAGTTACTGAGAAGCATGATGATGATGATGATGATTTCTGGCTCCTCTCTATTTGCTTTTCAGGGCAAAGTACAAAAAATGGGAGTCCTTCTCCAAGCATTGAAAGTTTTTCTGGAGGACGTGAATCCACTGAATCTCCTCCTTTGTCTGCAACCAAGAAGGAATCTTTTTTCAGTACAATTTCCCATTCACGTTCTCATAGCAGAAATATGAGCAAAAAAGAATCTGTAAGTGTTTCTTGAGAGATACATTTCACTAATTCAAGTTGTCTTATTTATATTGGTTCACATTTTTACTTCAGATTTACATAGATTAAAATAACTTATAAAATAACTTATAATAAAATAATAAAATAACAGAAACCAAACCATAACTTTCTGTAAAATCTTAATACATTTGTTACATTTTCAGAAGTATAAATGTCTTGATATTTCTTATTCCATTTAAATAAAGACAGCTTCATTTTTCCTTGGAATATCTTAGAAGACAACCTGGAAAGCAACTGGCAGCAGATGTAGCTTTTAAGATAGGGCCACCCATGCCTTAACATTCTAAGCCAGCAATATTTCTCAACAATCCCCAGAGATCACTCCACAAAGAATACATACACTGATATGATACTATTTTAATGTTATCAGATTATATCATTAAAATGATATCATCTTCATTTTAATAATTCCTTCAGTATGCAGAAAGGTGATTCTGTCACCTGAGTTCAAACTGAATTTCAAGTGTAGATAGGTAGATTTAGTAATGAAACTAGACTAATTTGACAAATATGGCATAATTTGCTGTAAATTTATTTTGGAGATAAATACTCTTGAAAATTTCATTGCCACCATTCCTAAATAGTAAGAGGATTTGAGTTTAAATTAATGCTATCATTTCTCCAATCGGTTATCAAGCCTTTTCCTAGCATAATATCTCATTACATGCAGTTTCTCATTTAGTCAGAGATTAAGTTGATTATGAACAATTAAACAATTAAAATTTAACAATGGCACGGTGTGACCAGATAGTATACTTTTTATCTTTACAATAAAACTCTTTATATAATTACAGAATTATTATTCTCTCACAAGAATTTCCAGAGTCTGAATTTTCTTTTGCTTTACTTTTTTCATTTCATTTCATTTTCCTCTCCTTTTTTTAGTTCTCACTATTGAGTATGTTTCTTTGTTCTCTATCCACACACACATATCAAGTTTGTTTAGCTTTTAGCTTTCTAAATTTCTTATAAAATGTAATCAGTTAGCTTGTTGTATGTTGTGGCTAATTTTTTTTAAAAAAATATTCTAAGATGAAGATGAGAAGGATAATAGCAATACAGCCCTGCTACATGGGTAAATATCTTTAGGCATAAGACAGTGCTGTGGGAATTAGGTGTTTAACAGAGTGATAGCATGGGGGGAAATCTGCTTTTGTGTCTAGGCAGATTGTTTTGGCATTGCAGTGCCCTATAGCAGACATGTCAAACTCAAGGCCTGCGAGCCAGATCCAGGCCATGATGTGTTTAGATGTGGAGCGCAAGCACACTAGTAGGTGGAGTATGTAGCAGTGGGCAGATGAGCTGAAGTGGCAGCAGTGCCAGAGAGGCCTAGGAGAGAAAGTCAGCTGGAGCTGCAGTTTTTCTGGGACCCTGCTGAAGCCCCGGTGTGCGTGGCTCTAGCTGATCAGGGCTTCTGACAGCCTCGGGGGTAGCCGGTAGCCGGCAGCCACAGGCAGTCTTCAGGCAGAAAGTCAGCTGGAGCTGTGGGGCTGTCAGGACTTGATGGAGACCCCAGAATCAGCACCTGCAACTCCAGCTGATAAGTTCTGCGTAAAAAGGCCATCTAGGCAGTGAGTGAACACATGGGGAAGGAGAGGGGAGGATATAAAAGGGGTTTTGGCAGGAAGGAGGAGGGAGAGGAGATGCTTTTGTGGGGGAAGCCTGAGGGAGAGAAAAGGATAGGAGAGGAGGGACTTTTGTGGGACAAGCCTGAGGGAGAGAAAAGGATAGGATAGGAGAGGCTTCTGTGGGGAAAGGCTTAAAGAGAGAGTTTGAATAGAAGAGAGGCAAGCAGAGGAATCAAGCAGAGTTTGAATAGAAGAGAGGCAAGCTGTGGAAGAAGAGCCCAGCAGGCAGTGCAGGAGAGAGGAAATAAGAAGAGCTGACCAGCCACTTGAATACCATCCTATTATATGACCATCTGCTGGAAAAGACTGACCACCACTCCTTCACATGACTCACCTGCTGGCCCTTTAAGGGCTACCATAATGGTGATGAGGTCATCAACAAAATTGAGTTTAACACCCCTGCCCTATAGTGATTCCTGAGGGGGGAAGTCGAAACAGTTTATTCCAGGATGTGATGGGTCTGTAGATATTTTATCAGCCTTCTCTCTGGCTTGTACAGTATAAAGGTCCTCAGTGAAAGGCAGGCTGGTTACAATTGTTTTTTTCTTCAATCCTAATTATCCATTGAAGTCTGTACCTTCCTGTTTGGTTGTTGTGCCAAACCAGAGTTATAGAGGTACAAATTGACAGACTCGATAATTCCTCTGTAGAACTGTATCAAGCAGATCCTTGAACTATATCAGCAGAATCTTTTCATGTGCTTGCTTGAAATCTCTTGGAGAAATAGTTTCATTTGGAGCTGAACCAAAGATGCTTTTGTAAAAGGCAAAGATTTTCTTTGTTTTTGCTTGAAAATATTTTCCTTCTCATCCAAGAAGGTTCTGGAAGAAGTTGGAGCTGAAATGTTTCTCTCAAAGCGAAGGGAAAGGGGATTTCAATATTTTTCCTCTCTTTTAGATCCACCATATTTTGTTCATTAGTAGTTTTCATTCTGTCAGAACAGACCACTGTTCTGTTTTCTCTGCCTGGTGTACTACTTTTTTAACAGCACTTACAAAATGAGTTCCTTCTACTGCCTCATCTGAAGCTTTTACTGATGCCATCTTAGCCATTTCAATGTTTTCTTAATCGTTTCTTCTAAACGCTTATTTTTGTATAGTGTCTTTCTGCAGCCTCTTCTGGTATTAACATTGCCTCTTCAATGCTATATCAGCTACTGCTCTGTTAACTGCAGTGTTAACAAAACTTCTGCTTCCTCTGGCTACCTCTCATACTTTCCTCTGGGAAAGTATGAATGACATAGGTAATTTCCAAATGAATTTATTGTTACCTTTGTTTAGTATAAGATACAGGATTTGATTTATTGTTTTTTAATCCAACCTTTATTATCTTATAAGTAACTAAAGGCAGTGAAGATAATATACTGCTTTCTTCTCCTGTTTTCCCCTCAACAACCCCTGTGAGATGGATTGGACTCAGAAAGTCACCCAGTTAGCTTTCATGCCTAAAACAAGACTAGGACTCACAGGCTTCTATTTTCTAGGCCAACTTCTCCCTATAACAAATTATATTTACTGATAGTCTGTCTCAAATAGCTTTTTTTATTCTCTCCATTTCATTTATACTCTGACATCTGGTAAATTAAAATATTTATTTCTTAGACTTTTTACCATTACATAATAGATAAGGGAAATGACTTTTTAATCCACCAATTTTGAATTTACAAGAGACATGGAGGAACCTGAATCTACCATTCGTAAACATTTCTCATTACCATCAGTCATGCCACCTATTAAGTTATCCTTTAATTTATCACATTTAGTTATTAAAAATCCACATTAGTGCATTTCTTTTTTAACTTCCTTGTGGTTTTGATACTCCCCTGACATATTAGTCAGTCCTTATGTGCCATATTTTTTGCCACACTTAACAATAGTTTACATTTTCAATTCTTTTCCTGTAAAGATTCTGTGGTATACTAGCTTTTCAGAGTGTTTTGTTTTTGTCTTTGATCTGAAAAAAGATCTGCTCTGTGCAATACCAATGAATCACAACTGCTCAAATTACTATATCTGGCCCTTTATCTTTTAGTTTTATCTTTAACTCAAGAAATAAATGAGAATAAAATTTAAGAAAACATTTCCATATTATGTTGATTATAGTACATGTACTCCTATTTTTATCCAAGGAATACTATGAAGTCATTGGAAAAATATTATAGATATGTGGGATTCTTAGTAAACTCAAATCTATTAATAGGTAAGATATCTACAGTTAATGTAATACCACTGAATCATGCCTATAAATATAACCACAAATTGCAATCTGATCCTTCTTTTGTTTCTATAAAGTGCAAAGCATGGCTTGACTGATCCAGTAAATACACAGAATAGAGTCATAATTATCATTATAGGTATAAACTATGTGGTTGCTGTAAATGTTCTTGATTCAGTGAATGTCACAAATCAGAAATGATCTAAACTATTGTGATAGAAAAACTTATTATTTGTCTATAATATCTGACTAGTGATTTTCAAAACTTGTAATGTTATATAAGACAACAGCTAGATGAGGAAGAGTTTCTAGATTGTATTTTGTATATGCTGAATTATTTTGGTCTGAATAATAAGATTTGGCCAGGAATGAACTATCCCTTTCTAGATAAGAACTAATGGTGAAAAGTTGCCCCAAATAAGATTATTGGCAGAGGTTCTTGTCCATAGCCGTGAGTACTATTGGAACAGAGACTCCTGGGATTTGCGCATTTGGATTCCTATAATAGGATTAATATACAATTGAGTGTACCATTGTTTAATCTCTAAAGATGAGAGCTAATGTAGAGCCCCACCTGAGAAAAGTGGACAGTAATATGATGAGGAAGGTTTAGTAATGCAATGGAGTATGGAAGGTAGAATGACCTAAGTAAAGATATGTATTTATGGCTCAGGCAGTAAAGACGAACTTACTATTTATTACCCTTTATCCCAATATTTAAGGGACAAATACCTTGTGGGTTTTACTTAGTTGCAAGCATACTGATCTAACTTGCAGAAGACTTTATGCTTTTTAATACAGATTCGAAGTTCCAAAGAGAGGCTTCATCTTCCTGTTGTTAATATCTGAAAGCAAAGAAATTGTTCAACAGATGCACCCTCATTGCTATAATGTGAAATGGCTTATGATTAAATAGCAATAGATACAGTTTTAACTAGTATTTTATGACTGCATATCTGAGTAAACTGTTACAGATTTTTGGATTGTGTGGGTTACTATTACAAGTTATTTTTTAATTTTTTGTATAATTAGGATTTATTTATTTATGTTTAATTAATCTTGGGAAGTGATTGCATTATGTAGAGTCCTGAGGGTTTTAGATGTGGTCAAAATAAACATAGTATTAATAGAATTTCAACCATGTGATAACATACTGATTTTTTTTAAATTTGATTATTATATCTTATGCTCCAAGAGATGTGCAAAAGTGCTAAAAATTAAAATGCTTTCAGAAGTAGAAGTGTTAATAATTTATTTTTATCAGTTAACAAAATGGAAAGTAAATGAACAGAAAAAATCCAAATAAAATCAATATTTGGTGTGACCATTCTTTGCCTCCAAAACAGCACCAATTCTTCTAGGTACACTTGCACACAGTTTTGAAGGAACCCGGCAACGTTCCTTCAAAGTTGTTCCAACATCTTGGAGAACTAACCATAGATTAGTTAGTTAGTGGATGTAGGCTGGTTGAAATCTTTCTATCCCTTCATGTAATCCCAGACAGACTCAATGAAGTTGAGATCAGGGCTTTATGGGGGCCAAACCATCTCTTCCAAGACTTATTTATTTTTCTTTGCACTGAAGATAGTTCTTCATGATATTGGCCGTATGTTTGGGGTCATTGTCCTGCTGCAGAATAAATTTGGGGCCAATCACTTGTCTCCCTGATGGTATGGCATGATAGATAAATATCTGCCTGTATTTCTCAGTACTAAGGATACCATTAATCCTGACTTAATCTCCAACTTCATTTGCAGAAATGCAGCCCCAAACATGCAAAGAACCTCCACCATGCTTCACTATTGCTTGCAGACACTCATTATTATTGTGCCATTGTACCATTCTCCAGCCCATGCCTCCTGTTACAGCCAAATATTTCAGATTTTGACTCATCAGTCCAGAGCACTTGCTGCCATTTTTCTACATCCCAGTTCCTATGTTTTCATGCATAGTTGAGTCGTGTAGTCTTCCTTCTATGTCAGAGATATGGCTTTTTTTGCCACAATTCTTCCATAAAGACCACTTTTGGCCAGACTTCTCTGGACTGTAGATGAATGTACCTGCGTCCCAGTGGTTTCCACTAGTTCTGTGGTGATGGCACTGCTGGACATTTTTGATTGTCGAAGGGAAGTAAATATGATGTATTTTTCATCTGCATTGAGTGTCCTTGGCCCACCACTGTGTCTCTGGTCCTCAATGCTGCCTGTTTTTTGGTGCTTCTTCAAAAGACCTTGAATAGCACATCTTGAAACTCCAGCCTGCTTTGAAAACTTTGCCTAAACTACAACAGAAAAAGCTGTGCTTAAAATTGGGTGAGGGATAGTATGCAAATGTAAGAATTGGTGCTGTTTTGAAGGCAAAGGGTGGTCACACCAAATATGGATTTGATTTGGATTTCTTTTCTATTCATTTAATTTCCATTTTTTAATTGATAAAAATAAACTATTAACATTTCTATTTCTGAAAGCATTCTTAATTTACAGCATTTTTGCACAACTGCCTAACAGTTTTGCACAGTACTATATGTTGGGGGAAACTGTCAGGTGTGGAATAACTGATGATAATCTAATTTGCATTTTATATTACTATTTGTTAGCTCAAGATCAGGAATGCAAAATTTTCAGGGATTCACTTTGTCGTTTTAAGGGGTAATGTCAGGCACAAACAATCAAATCCGTACATGAAGAGTTCAATTAACTATTTTATTATTCATGCCTATAATACAAGAATCTTCTCAGACTGGCAGTTTATACCTGGCCACACTAGATAAAGTTCAGTGTCATTCAAGGGGTAATCCAATCTTGCCCTTTTGTGTCTACATAGTGATTCCAGACTAATTCCCCACTTGACTTCTGGCTTGCTCAGCCTCTCTTCAACATACAATAACAGAAACTTGAAAACTCTTCAGAATTTCTGTCTATTACATTTTATACTAAATGAAGACAGGTTTACATTTCATCATAACATCTTATGGCATGCTGCAAATGCTCTTTATGCCTTGCCCCAGTTGGTCTATATCAGTGGTCCCAAACTTTTTGGTGGCATGGATTGGTCCCAGGGAGAAAGACTGTTCCACAGACCAGAAAATCTTTGTATCTAACATAGTTTCTTGATATGGAAGCACATCTGTTGCTGACCAAGGGGTCCTTAGCCAAATGAATTTAGCACATGAATTATAGCTGTACCTGTAGTAGGAGCAATTTGCCCAGTAACTCATGATTTTATCACCATTGTTGGCATATGCAATGTGCTGTAAATGGGACTTTCTTGTGAAAATATTAAACCTGTGCTACACATTGCCTTCCAATAGGCTTCTGGATGCAATTCAGAGAGCTAGCTTTTGATCTATTCAGTATGTCTTGTACTTAGATTTCCATACAGAATCATGCTATCAATTTGATTGCCCCAGGAAAAAACCACTGATAGTACCCCACTACAGTACCCCAATAATGAAAAGATGGATAAAAGCTTTGATGCTTGGAGATTCAACTTTTCAAATGGTTGTGTTTTGGAATATTTTCAAACTGAGGTTGGACCTGCCCCCCCTGTGGCTTCTTTTCAGAAAATGTTAAAGACAAAACTCGGGTGAAAAACATTTGTATTCTTAAGTATATGATATCTAGGATTGTACATTGTTGCTGGATTTTTTAGATTTTTCTCTTATGATACAATTGATACTTCTTTCAATTTGTTTTTAATTTAGCTTACCAGGGGCATTTCATTTTTTATTTTACCAGGAATCTTCTATATTATATCTTTCATTGTTAACTGCTGGAAGTCCTAACAGAAATTAGAACAGTATGCAAGGTGGATAAATGAACTCTGCTAAAACACAAAGCTTCAGTTCATAAGCCCCTTGGATTTAAGTCTTATTTAAATCAATAGGATATGTTATGATAGAAACAAAGATTTCAGGGGAATCCAAAGATTTTTATCTTTGTTTTGACCAAATCCAAAGAACTATTCCAAAAATCTTGATGTTATTTAAGAAAAAATGGCATGTTATTATCTTTATGTTGCTCTTAAAGGAAATATGTAGCAGCATCTTAGTATTTCAAGTGCATAAGAAAAAAGAACACATTGTTTTAACTCATTCTGACTTTGAATTTCTGCTGCTGTTTTTTTTAAAATATAAGCCTATATTTATTTTTATATCTATTTGAGGAAAGAAAGCAATTGTCAAACAGAAACTAATAAACTCTGCAGGAGTGTAACAATCAGAACATATGGAAATTATCTTAGGATAATAAAATAAATTATAAAAAGTGTAATACACAAACAGAGAAATGCTTTGTATATATAAGATGTTTTAAGTGATAGGGCCTGTTTATGTTGTTTGTTAAAATTTTCCAGAAACCTTATAAAGCCACAATTGAAAAAAAATGTTCATTGCATACAATTGAAGCCACAATTGAAAAAATTTGTACATTGCATACAAATAAGGCTTTGCTAATGAGAAAACTGAATTAATGTTGCTAGATAGCTTGCACCTAATTTAGCTATGTAGCATGAACTAAATCAATTTGAATTATAATTTTTTGAATAAGCTGATTCTGAAAGCAGCTGATAAATAACAAGGAAGAGGAAGAAGAAAACACCAACACCAGCTAAAGAACTGGCAGCTGTGGCTTCACTTTATTGTGTGAACACATATTAAATAGTCTGGCTACTTTTCATAATTAATAGATGGCATTAGTCTGAGGCTCTCTGTTCTGTGTGCTCTTTCGGTCAATCATCTCCTAGTAGACCTTAGTTCTCTTGACAATAGCAGAACTCAATCTTACGTTTGTCTTTGCAATATGTTAGTAAATATTTTCTGAAAAGTTGAGATTCTGAATAGAGAATAGCGGTAAGGTTAAAATGAGACATGAGCTCTTTGAGAATATGCAGCAGAAATATAAAGCATAAACTTTTGTGTAATTTTTCCTCAACTTCAACAAGGTTTTTACTTAGTCAAGTTTTTATTTTACTTTTTATTATAGGAAGAAGAATTAGAGACTCAGATTTCATTTCTTCAAGGACAATTGAATGAGTTAGAAGCTATGTGTAAATATTGTGCAAAAATGATGAACATACATCTAGGTAAGAAGGAAGTTCATATTTTAGATATGAAATGATAATGTGTATCTTCTGGATAATGTTTATATTATCAGGTTGATAATATGTTAGGAAAGTATGCATGTAGGTGTTTATGCATACAAGCAAAGAATATAGATAGCATCAAGCACAATACTAGTAACCTTAAGTCTCGAAACATTAAACAAAGTTCAAAACATCATAAAAATTGAGAAAGCTGATCTCTAAAAACGTTCAGTCAGGTGTGACCAAGCAGATATACGAGAACAATTGTGCCTAAGGTGAGGTGCTGGAGTAGGAGTGGAGAAAGGCAGTGTCTCTGTCAGCCCTATAAAAAGAAATTGAAAACATCTATCAATCTGCCCTGGATCAGCAGGCACTTGACCGATTGTTTAAAAAAAAATTATTACATGAAATAGCACCAGATTGTATAGTTACGACTAAAGCACATTTTTGTTTCCTTTCTTTACCACATAATTTGAAATATATTTTTCCTCATTTGAAAAATTATTATGGATTATAAAATTAATATGGATTATAAACCAAACGTTCAAACTGGATTTGGCATTTTTATTAACCTATTGCAGTCTTTTAGAGACCGAGTGCCCAAACTGTAACCCAAAACCCATTTATGCATCGTCGGCTGCCGGGTAGGTGTGGCCATTGGGTGGATGTGGCCCATTGGGTGGGCGTGGCTGCAGTGGTAACGGCAGATTGGGTGGGACTAAAAAGTTCAGTCAATCAATTCCAACTTTGCAAGATCTTTTTTCCCCCCAAGAAGTTGAAATTGACTGATTGATTGAACCTTTTTTTTTTTGCATACGGCGGCAGAGGCTTAAGCGAAAAGGTTTTATAAAACCCAGATGAAGGCCTAGGACTGGGGCGACAGCTCGCGTGCCCACAGAGAGGGCTCTGAATGCAGCCTCTGGCACCCGTGCCATAGGTTCGCCACCACTGACCTATTGGGTCCTTCTCATGGATCTGGGATAGGTAGATGTGGATGTTTGATGGTATTACGGCGTGCGAATTATATAACCAAAAATCAAACAGCAGCAGTACATTCAGGGCAAGTGCGTCTATGATTCCTTGTATGTAAGAATGTCAGGCATAGTTCAGTGCAACACTTGTTTTGCAGCTGTCTTTCGCAGTACCCTTTTCAATCATGGAAACTGTCCTATCTGTAAACAAATCACTAGTTTACAAGATTACTTATCTAGGGTCTGTGATCTCTGCTCTTCAGGCAGAAATTAGGTGTCCAGTTCAGCCCTTCTATTCCACTGAGCCTCCAAGCTATCAGCCCCCTCTACCACAAAGATCCTGTAGGAGAAGGGCATTGTGGACAACCGTGGAATCTGGCAGGATGAGAGCTGTGAACCATAAACACAAAGCTTTCGCTCTTTCCCTGCACAACAGATACAACGCCCTTACTGACCTTAATAGGGAAATTAAGGTGACAGGTAAAGGTATTTGTGATGATAACTCAAATAAGCAGGGGATCGTGGACCAAGATGAAGAACTTGTTTTGGACAGGGAGAAGTGCGAATCAGGTATTACACACCAGTCATGCAAGAACAGAAAGGCATCCAAAAAGAAGCCACCTTCTGGTTGGTGATTCAATTATAAGGGATGTAAATTTAGGAAAGGACACAGAAGTTTCAAAAGAGGTCAGATGTCTCCCAGGTGCTACTGCCAGTAGGGACAAGAGGCGTATTTCTAAAATAATTAAGAATACCAGCAAGGACTGTGATGTGGACGCTATTGTACATCTTGGCACTAACGATCTGTCCCAAAAAGATGTACTCTCTGTGCAGAACGATTTCCAGAGCTTGGGGCAGGAACTTAGCAAAATAGGCTGTAGGCTAACTTTTTCAGAGGTTATACCAGTGTATAAAGATCAAAACGGAAAAGGCCAGCGTATAGCACAATTCAATATTTGGCTAAAAGAGTGGTGTAAAGGGGAAGGCTTTGGATATATTAGTCATGATGTCAGTAGTTGGTCCCATGACAAAATGTACAAAAGAGATGGTTTGCATCCATCAAAGAAAGGGACTGAATTACTTGGCTATAAATTCGCATATTTTCTAGAGGAATATTTAAACTAAACAGCGGGGACGGTGAGTTAACCGATACAGAGCATCCCTGCCCCCGGCAATCTAAAAACAATAGGGCTATCAGTGCATGTAACATAGATATGTGTGTGGACAAAAATACCAACCTTGCTGTCAAGCAAAATCACACTTCTAATAACGAGTGCCACACAAAGTGCACTAACCAAATAGGTGGTAAGACAATAGGGGAACTCAGGCACCACTCAGGTTATGTAGAAAGTAAACACAGGGTCGGTCATAAAGGACTCAAATGTCTATACACCAATGCACAGAGTATGAACAGCAAACAGGGTGAACTAGAAATTCAGGTCAATGAGGGCAGATATGATATTGTTGCCATTACAGAAACATGGTGGGATGAAACCCACAAATGGAACACACAGCTAGAGGGATTTAAATTATTTAAAAGAAACAGATCAAATAAAAGAGGAGGTGGAGTTGCTCTATATATAAGAAATAACTACATCTCCACAGAAATAGAGCACAACAATGACAAAAACTGTCTTGAATGCATTTGGGTCAATATAAAAGGGAGAAAAAATGACATTGCCATAGGTGTATACTATAGGCCATCCAACCAAACAGAGGAAATAGATGAACTTTTTGCTAGTCAGCTAACTAAGGTATGTAGAAAGTACACCACCATAGTAATGGGGGACTTTAATTACCCTGATATCAACTGGGAGACAAACTCTGCACCAAGTGGAAGATCAAACAGATTCCTGACAAACCTAGCAGACAACTTTGTCTCCCAAAAAGTAGAGAAGGGAACTAGGGGATTAGCCATTTTGGATCTAATTCTCACTAACAGCGATGAAATGATAGAAAGTGTTGACGCCACAGGAACTTTGGGATGTAGTGATCATGCAATATTGGAATTCAACATTATGGAAGCACAAGCAATAGAACATAGTCAAAGTAGAGTCTTGGACTTCAAGAGAGCTAATTTCAATAAACTCAGAGAGGGCTTGGGAAGGATTCCATGGATGAGAATCCTCCAGGGAAAAACAACACAAGAAGCTTTGGAAATTTTAAAAAGCAAGATTATAGAAGCCCAGTCTACCTCAATACCAACAAAGAGGAAAAATAACAGCTCTCAAAAGAAACCAGCATGGCTGCATAAAGAACTCTTTGACAAATTGAAAGACAAAAAGGACAAGTATAGAAAGTGGAAAGAGGGGCACATAACTAAATCAGAATATCAACAAATAGCCCGAGCCTGCAAAGATGAAGTGAGGAAAGCCAAGGCTCAAAATGAACTAAGCCTTGCGACCAAAGTCAAAAATAACAAAAAAAGCTTCTTTCAACATGTAAAAAACAAGAAAAAAGTGAAAGAAATGATTGGTCCATTAGTGGGGGAAAGTGGTAAGAAGGTGACAAGCAATAGGGAGAAAGCAGAACTATTTAACTCGTTTTTTGCATCTGTCTTTACACAAAGGGAAAAAACAGACCAACCTATCAAAAATAGTGCCATAAAAAACAGTATAGAAACACAAGTTAAGATAGGCAAGAAAATGATAAGTGAGCACCTGTCCAGC